AATACAACTTTGTTCGCTTGTTAAGACATCAAATCATCGAGAAAATCAAGGATTGCTTTTCCCATCACAGGGAAAATGTGCATTACAATGCTGTGAGTGTGTGTGTGTGTGTGTGTGTGTGTGTGTGTGTGTGTGTGTAAGTGTGTAAGTGTGTATATGGAGGTCTATAAGGACATTTGAGGCTGCGGGGCAACATAAGAAAAAATTAAGGCTGGTATAATGGAAACTGAGGCTGGTAAAAATGCATCGCTGTTTCATTTACCATTTGTCCGAATCTTTCTCTGTAATTGGCTATAGCAAGCCTGTTTCTTGTTGACGGATAGGGGGGGGGGGGGTCTTTAGGCTGGAGGGCTGTAAGATACCAACAGATTGTAGCCAGCTGATTAACAGTATTATAGCTGGAATGAGTGGCCCCCAGCAATTTGCTAGTGTCATTAGAAAGGGAAGAGCAGTTCATACTCACATCATTATCCCCTCCATTACCACGGGTAAACATCTACTATTAACCCCCACATACAGACCAGCTGCGTGTGTGTGTGTGTGTGTGTGTGTGTGTGTGTGTGTGTGTGTGTGTGTGTGTGTGTGTGTGTGTGTGTGTGGGTGTGTGTGTGTGTGTGTGTGTGTGTGTGTGTGGTGTGTGTGTGTGCGAGGGAATGGGGTGTTAGTAGGACGGGGACATTTTTTTTTACAATAATCTATAACACGTTGATACGGCACACCTTCCCAACACATACCATTTGCCCACAGCCAGCAGCGTTTCCCCACTGCATCACTCATTGTACTCCTAATGAATTCAATCAATAGTCTTTGCTTTTCGCCCTCATTTTCTCCATCATTCGCTCATGCCCTCCTCGCTCCTATTTGTTTTACCCCTTGGTTTCTACACTTTGTCTTTGTTCCCCCCCTCCGTCCCCCTCCGTCCCCTGGAGCAGCGGTTGAAGATGAACTGTTGGCTGCAGCTGGCCCCCCCCCCGCTCTGAGAGAGACAGGGGCAGCGTGGTGACAGATAACAGCCCAGATGGTTTAAGCTGTGCCTCTCTCACATGGTCACCTGCTTCCTCTCTCGGTCTCTCTACTCCTTGATGGCTGCCTCTACCTATCCCCCTGTCGCTCGCCCAAACTGAAACCGCTTTTTCCATCATCCCATTTTTTATTTTGTCTCTACCCCAGTCTCCATCATTGCTCTTTTAAACCTGGCAGAGAGGATTGAAAAGAGATGGAGGCAGAGATAAATCAAGAGGGATGGCACTTTCAGAGTCATGACTCATGGGTGATGTACAGTGGCAGAATGAGAGAGGGAGAGAGGGAGGGAGAGAGAGAGCAGCAGTATTTGGGTTACTTAATTGTAGACAAGACTGTCTTTGCTGCTTCACTAGGCTGAGACATATTGCCCTAACTGTCAGTGACGCCTCGATGGTTGCCTTCAGATAAACAACTATGAGTGTGTTTTAGTGTGTGTAATTCTGCTGTTGTATTACCGTTGATGAATCTAAAGATGATGATGAGATTTGCTTTGAAATGCCTCAGTAGATTCAGAAATTAGCATGTTATTGAATAATATATTAAACATTGCACTGTATAATATACTTTCATTTTGATCATTAAATACAATTATATTTAAATCCCCATTATCTGCACGTAGCTTTTCTAGATTTTGGACTAAATGGATAACATTCAGATTGTACAAAGACTTATTTTGGTGTATTTGTGAATCCAGAAAACACATTTAAATCATTTTAAAGGTGATGCTTTTGCATTGATTGTGTATGGCGTAAAAACGCTTCTAGGGCCAATGTGCGTCATGTGATGCTGCAATACTGTGTGTGACCACAATGCCATACATTTCCTAACAACCCAGCAGCATCGTTCTTGTGGGTCCAGTTAAAGTATTTAGTGAAACAGAAGTTTGACATTCTTTATGTTAACTTAAAGGGGACCTATCATGCAAAATGCACTTTTGTACGTCTTTTATACATGAATATGTGTCCCCGGTGTTCCAGGGAACTCACCAAGTGTCAGAAAACACAATCCTCTCTATTTTCCTCCATACCCAAATCTCTAAAAAAGGGGCTGCAACGGATCTGATAAAAACTGATCCAGATTTGAACACTGTCCTGACGTCAGGACAGTGGCGCTACGGCTATTGGGCCAACTCCACCAATCAGGAGGAGACAGCCGCGGCCATTGCCGTTCGAAAGCGCTGGAGAGGCTGTAGTACATATGCCAGGCCTGTAGGTGGTGCTGTTCTCACAGAATCAGCCCTTGCAAAAACAGGGGTAAAAAAGTGCAAATTGAGCGAAATGAGGCATGGCTAAAATGCATGATCTGTTTGGTATTTAAAAAAAAAAAAAAAGTATAAATATGCCTTATATAGGTATGGTCCTACACTATATTATTATAATATAGCATGATAGGTCCACTTTAAAGTGACATATTTCCGGGTTAACTGGCTTATGTGTCTGGAGTTTAATGATATTTTTAATCAACACTCTTTTGAATTGATTGGATGATTTAAATGAATCAGGCAAATTGACTTCCAAACACACCTCCTCCAATCTCTCTCGGCAAGCTACTACAAAACCAATAGCTGATGCTAAGAGAGGTTTATATGCTAGGGTTTGGAAGTCGCCTTAACCTAATGGATTTATTTATGTATAAGTTTGGAGTTGAAGATGAGTCATCCAAACTAGTTTTCTTAGAAGAGAAGGACATTTAACTTATATTTTGCACATAACGCAGGAACCCACTGAGCATTTAAATGTGCATTTTAATTAACAGCAGGAATACATTTATGCTGAGGATTAAAAACTAATATCAAATAGAAAAAACAATAGAGTCGTAGAGGAAGGACAGAGGAGGCAGAAGACACACTAATTGCTAAGAAACAGGTATCGGAGGGTTCTGAGTTTTTCAGGATTTATGAGTGAGTCCGGCTCAATATCAGGCCCATCTCCCTCCCTCCCTCTACCCGTTCTTTTTCTCTCTGAAAGACACGCTCTGCTGTCTCCACTTTGCTGTCCTTTAGAGTACGCTCCACCATCCGTCTCCCACGCTATCTGGCCCTTTCTTTCCCACCTTCCCCTATCTTTTTCTCACAATGCATTTAAATGGGGTATTTAGAGATTCCGTCCTTGCTCATCTCTTCACACATACTTAAATGTAACCTCAATCCTTCAACAACCTTTTGAAAAGGAAAATACCCCGGTTCCTTGAAGAAATAGGTCCCAGGAGATGTATGGTGAGCACACATGGAGTGGGGAGATTTGTATGACAAACTTGCGTGGCCCACTTCCAAAATATTCCCTCGCAGCAGCATCTCCTTGAACCTTTTTACACAATGACCAGATGTTTTGATGAAGCTGCACATGTTGTTGCCTCTGAGACTACGAAATGTGCCATCTGCTAATTAAATGAGTAAACGGAGATGTGGTCGAATTAGTCTGATGTAGTAGGAGTTTACAAAGGGTTCCTTTTGAATTTGTCACTGTGGGATTGATGCCAGGTTCATCATAATCAGCATATATGAAGTGTTTATTCAGATTTACAGTGTTAATGTGCCTTCATTGGTGACTGCAAGATGGGGACTGTTTTTCAGTTTTTTCGTTGTGAATTTTTTTGTTTTACTGCCTGAATGATATTGAGTGATTTTAAAGCAAAACTATTATTCTGCTGTCCGACAAATGATTAGCTTTCTAAAACATCAGGGGTTACAGTAATGACACATTTTGGTGATTGTTTCTCTAAGTCGTCTCAAGCTCGATTGCTTCTTACTTTCATGAAACATCTGAAATTCAAGGTCAGGAACATTCTCAGTTGACTGATCCCAGACATTGTGGGAAATGATAATAATTAGATAAGACAGGTTCTGGGGAACAATACATGTTCACCAAACATCATGGAGGTGTAGTATGCCGTACGTTTTGAACTTGTCAACAGTAAAATGAAGCATGGAACCTTTTTAAACCAAGAACATATATAAGTATATACCATGTTTATATAAACTGTCAGTTTACTTAATCTTGCGACTGTCTACATGTGTTGAACACGAGCTAAACAGCCTGACCTTTTCAGTGCACCTGCGTTTAATTACTGTAAGCACTAATCAAGGGACCCTAAGAGCTTGACAATCTTTGGTGAAAATCTCAAAGAAGTCAGCAGTCACCATGGGAGGCAAATGTCAGCTATTGAAGGATTTTAAGGAAAATAGATTGTTTTATGGAGTATAAGATAACACCATCTTACATTGTCATATTGGATCTGTGAACAGGGAAGAACTGTGATCAAAAAATAATCTGGCAGATCAACTAGTTGTTAAAAAAAAAAGGAATTGCAAATTGTATTTAATTGAAAATCCAAGCTTATGACCAGTGCAGCATGATGTTTCTTACATGTGAATGATATGATGCTCCACAGCAGCAGGGGGTCAGGTGTGGATGAGATTCACTCTGCTATAATGAAAGCTGATTGGTCTCTCTTCACTGGGACACCTATTCAATGTGGCGTGGAGATTGAGGAAGGTGCCTGCAAAATGGAGGACTGATGGCGATGACAATTTTTAAATTACAGGGTGTGCTGCTATAACCAGTTCCTTCAGCAAATACCGTGAGGATGATGGTTACTTTTCTAGTTTGGGGTATTTACAATTAATAAACAGTGACATCACTTCAGATATAAAGCAAAAATATTTTGTCTGCTTTTTGTTTATTTGCTTCAAATACATGCAGATGTTCTGACACCATAGCAACAGCTATAGGACATATTTAGCTTCTCAGCACCATGGACAGCGCCACTGTAAAAACACCCAGGCAACACACTACAGCGAGATAGAAACATGTTGCAGTGGGACAGTATGAGTGCACAGTATGTAAATGTGTGTGTGTGTGTGTGTGTATGTGTATGTGTATGTGTATGTGTATGTGTGTGTGTGTGTGTGTGTGTGTGTGTGGGTGTGTGTGTGTGTGGTGTGTGCGTGCGTGCGTGTGTGCATGAAGAGGCCTTACCTAGCCGCGGGTCAAACTGCCTCATCTGAACTTCTTCCACATAGTCTGCTGGAAACCATCCTGTCCTCCCTTTGACAGTGCCTTCCCAGAATCCTCCTTCCCCTATACTCAGCACTGAAAAGAGAAAAATAATAATGTCAAACATTGAAATAAAACATTCTTAGTTGCCATTATTGTGAGGTTGTGGAGCCTTGGAAAAGAGACAAAGAAGGACAAAGTGAGATATTTAGGTATCCATTGTTCGGGTGCGTGTACACAGAGGGAGACATTTTGTTTTACAAATACACATGTTAGATAAAAGACAGAAATAACTGTAATCGGAATAAAATGGTCCGTAGTTTATGAACCATACCAAGGTGCTTTGACAACATAGGATTTATCCTCTTTAATGCCAATAAACAACTTTTGAATTTGAAAAATAAAGAGAAAGAAAGACTTAATATTAAAGGGACAGAGTTGAGGGAAAAAACATTAAGGTCAACAAGAAAAAGAAAAGGGAGATGGGGAGAGAGAGCTAGAAGGCGGAGAGGAGAAGGAGAGAGATTCCTTCTAAGCTCCGCTGTGGTAATTAGAGATGAATGTATAGTTGATATTGATCTTCCCTGCAGGGAACGCTCATTTCTACAACACACACACACACACACACACACACACACACACACACACACACACACACACACACACACACACACACACACACACACACACACACACACACACACACACACACACACACACACACACACACACACACACACACACACACACACACACACACACACACACACACACACACACACACACACACACACACACACACACACACACACACACACACACACACACACACACACCTTAGAGATCACCAGCTGGAACTGAAGCTTTGCCTGAGCGAGCCCTTCTTCTAAACCGGTTGCTAGGTTACGACAGTATGATGTTGCAGCCAGAAGACAGCCTGCTAAATGATGCAGTCTACTTCCTCCAAACTATTTTCTCCTCCGGCATGGGGACATGTCACGGTGATGTCACCGGAGGCACTATGGGTAGCGGTCAGCTGAACTTCATCTTCACTCACATGATAGTAAAAGTTCAAAGTTCAAATATCAGCCATTCACACTTGCTGCATAGTGTTACAAATATGTTTCTTAAATACTTTCTACTACACTGTGCCCACATCTTACTACCCCTAAGTAGTCTATTCTACTATTCACATCCTGCGCTGACACAGACATGTATGAGGCTAGGCAGGATTGTGTTTTAGGACACTGTGTGTTTCAATAGAATATAATTAAATAATACAAATATCCTGGTGGGTCACAAGTCTGTATTTTTTTTTTATCTCAATGGACTGGATATACTCCCTCAGTGTACCCCTCTTAGCTTGCCTCTGCCCGGATATACATCCACTAGCTAACAGAGAAGTGGCTTGCAAAAGGGGAGACCGGCTGTTTATCGACTTCCAGCTGTAAAAAAAGAGGACACTCGGCACACAGAGGATACATGGACTGATCCCTCTCTCTGATCGCAGCTTAACACAACTTTACCCAGAGTCTCTTTATTTCCCTGTTTAAACCCTTTATTCTCTCTCTCTCCCCCTCTCTCTGCTCTACATGACTTTCTCTCCCAGTCCCCTTCACTGTTTTTCTGAATGATTTCTTAGACCTCTCTCCATCCCATCATTTGTACCTGTCGCTGTGTCCGTCTGTACTGTAATGGTGTCCCTGAAGCAGGCAGGTGCCCGCTGTGCTCTCTGTTCCCCATTGACAGAAATGAAAGAAAAGGTGAGACCTCTGATTGATCTTCCAGGCTACCCTCGCTCACTTCCCTCACTCCTGGCCTTATCACCCCACTACTAATCCATTTCTGGTCCCCGACACCCACACCTGACAATATGGACAGAACTGACCATCTAAGAAAGCAAGCAAAAGTCACCGTCTCGTCTAAAAGATCTCAAATATATATCTACACCGATACACCATGGACTGTTCTGCCTCACACACACACAGTATGTAATACACACATCAGCCTCAATAACTTTGAACAAAACATGAAAACTGCAGGAATCAAGCCAATTAATTGATTGTTCATGAAATCAAGAAAAGGTCAGTGAAACACTCTCACACACTCACAAGCACACACAAAAACCACCCCAAAGTTTTTTGTTGCATAATAGACTTTATAATCCTCACATTTCCCTCAGCGTCTGATACAGACCAAAAAGAGAATTTCCCTGCTGCTGTAACAGTAAAACAGTATTATTTGTGGCTGAATGATGGTGTTAACTGATTCTTTGTGTCTACTTGTACATGTATTGGCTTTCTTCTATATCTTGCAAAAGCAGAAACAATAGCCTGAAACACATATAAGGCCACACAGCAAAAAGGCATGCATGTACCTGTAAAATGCCCTTACAGGTACTTCCCCGCTGGGTCAGTAGCCTGTACATTACACTGCCACTCTGTTTTGGTACTTGCCAACAATGTGTTGGCATGACAACTGTGGCTTTTAATCAGATGAAGGCTCACCAGAGCCAAGTGGCGGGAAGGAAATCAAACAATGCGTGTCTGTGCAGGAGGATTTATAATATGTGCGCCATGTTGATGTTTACGTCCGACCAGATTGCTTTGGGACCACGGCCATGTGTGAAGCTTAAGGTGTGGATATGAGTGGGAAAGGCCAGTAGAGTTTATGCGGTTCAAGCTTAAGATCAGGTACTACTCCTCAATCTCCTCATGCCACATCACAGTCTGTCAGGGCATGTTGACGCCACACATATGGTGGTGGATCCTTGAAGAGATTAAATGGCCCAGCAAGATGTTGATGAGGGAATTCTTTAAGCAATAAAAACCCCAAAAGTCGAATTTAAATGTAGAAGGGCAGGAAAGGGCAGTTCAATTGTGTTTGCAAGTACCTGATGGAGATACTGAAGGGCCATTTCATCTTTAACTTAATTTAAGAGTTTTTGGAAATAGGACAAACTCTCAAGAAATGGATACCTTTGGTAAAATGAAGAATGCAATTTTCTAATGGACGCTTCCTGTCTGAATAATGACGTTGATAAACAATGAGTGACAGCTGAAATCTAAAGTAGATGGGATTGAGCATTATGCATACACTGGTGACTGTCTTTTGATATTTCCTTCAATGCAAAACAATGAATGGCATTTGTTCTAATCTCTATGGAGGTCTATTGGGGCTTAACTAAACAACCGTTCCGTGCACAAGGCAATCAACACCTCAGCTGGACACCAGGCCATTTCTCCACTGTATCACTAGGAGCAGTGACCTGCCATGCTGATTCATAATCACCTCCACAGGCAAACTAATGGGTGCAAACTCACAGCATATGTTGACATGCATTCATACACACAGTCATGAAACACATGCACTCTTATCCAAATGGACACACACCAGGGCCTCTTTATTATGTACGCAAACAGTAGAAGCATATTGTCCCTTTAGAACAGCATACATTTGTCTAGTTATGATTCTGCAAGCTGCTGGATGCATTGAGGGAAAATGTTGTAAATTGTGGAGATGAATGTGTTTTAACAGCTGCAGTCATGTTGATACCCAACCTGTCCATACCAGCGATGCTCAGGAACACTGAAACAATGAAAATCCACTGATGTTTTTCCCAAAAACATTTGGTGACGACATGTGCCTGATGACATATTGCATCCTGCTGGTGGTGAGGATTAACTGTGGTGCGGTTAACTGAAGTTTTATCAACCGCGTTAAAATATGCAGTGTTGTTCAGCCATTCTTCATAGAGTTCCATAATCCCTAATTCTGCCAATGTTTACCAAAGAAAAAACAAACAAAACAACATTCCCACACCATCGCTGCCACAACCAGCTTGTGGTGTTTACACTGAACAGGATGGCTCCATGGATTCATGCTGCTTGTGCCAAAATCCTGATTCTTTTATCAGCGTAATGCAAAACAGGTCGGGATGCGACACTCTTTAATGAACCAGCTTTGTTGTTTGTGTAGTTTCTAACACATATCACAATTTGAACAACATTGGCTGAATCCGCCCCGATCGAGGGTCAGTCTTAAAGCCCATAGTGTATTTAGGGTCATTTCCTATGCTTCAGGACAAACAAGAGAGAGCCAGCTCAAGAACTAGAATATAATAAAAAGATGTATAAAGATAAGTAATCGTCACATTTATCCTAATACAACTACTTTTGACAGTTTCTGAAGATATACATTTCATGTCATATCACCGCCTGATCGGTATCCGACATGATCTTTAGGATCAAATTCATCTTCAAAGATATGCTCTGGAAACCAGTGGTGAATTAAGAAGAAGTTTATCTCATGTTTATTTTTGTTAATTTGCATTTTTCCTTTGTCAATGACCCATGAGGCATTTTTGTCTTATGATGCCCAGCATGATTTCATTCTGAACACAGCATGCATGTGACGAATACAAACTCTTAACAAAGGTGGGGGCATACCGTCAATAGTGTTCTTATAACTATCTATACAGTTAAATAAATCAATGCACTAACATACTTACATTTGTATCCTTTCACAGACTACAAAAAGCCCAGCATAACAAATAAACATACTGTGCAAAACAGGTCGTCTCTTCGGTGACACAGCTCAACATACTGTATTTTTTTTAGCCTCGTAGAAATCAAATAAATGGCATCTTACTGGGCCATTAACGAAGTATTCTGGGACTTATATAGAAATATCATACAAACGAAGCATGAAATGTGAACAGAAAGGAGAGTAGCACACCACAGAGCCCCCGACAATGAAACAAAGGGAAAGATTGTGACGGAAGTAGCACTGCATTCAGCAATGACAAAGAGAGATGAGAGCCAGCTAAAGACAGACACCAGCTGACAAAGGGGAAGAGCTATGTTTCAACAGCCGCCCGGTTATTCATGAGAGTCCAAGAAGTCTGCTGTCTGGTGGAAATTCTGCTACAGTATTGTTCTATGCGTGTATTGGTGTGTGTGTGTGTCTGAGTTTTGCCCTTGGTTCAGTCAGTCACGGTTCCTGGTTTAAAAATAGCATCAGTGAGGATGCAGAGCTATTTATACTCTTCGCACACCCAGCCTGCAAGCTCCAATGCACTTCTGCTCGAGTGTGTG